AAAAAAAAAAAAAAAAAAAAAAAAAAAAAATTCATAATTTTTTATAAATATATAAATGTTAACTAAATGAAATAATTTAAACCTTTAAAAACATATGGTATTTATCTTTTTTTTTTTCGTATAAAATAAAAATAAATACAAAGTTATCTCTAGTAGTTAAATTATCATAAATATTTATTCCTATTAAATTCTCCCTTTCATTATTTTCATTTACATAATATGGTATTTCATCATCAGAAATTATAGACTTTTTATATTTCTTTAATTGTGTGCATTTTCTTTTATATAATTCATAGTTACTTTTATTTTCTATACAAAAAAATAACCTTAAAAAAAAAAAAGAAAAGAAACAAACATAATAATATAGAATTATTCTTAGACAATATTATTTTTATTTATTTAAATATTATATTCTTATTAATTTTTTACTTATGAAATATAAATTTATTGTATGAAAAAGAAATATTCCCGATATCACATAAGCATATGTATAAATAACTATAATCGCTTTGATTCATATAATTGAGTATATTGTTTTGAAATTCATCTAATAACCTAATTTAATAATTATATATATAAAAAAAAAAAAAAAAAAAAAAAAAAAAAAGGTTGTATTGAATAAGTTAAATGTAAAAAAATATATATTTTAAATTAAAATATTTTTATAAAATTTATACTTTAAGTATTTAGGGATTTGAGTATAATAGGATATTAAAAATAAGGAATGTAAAATTTTAATATTCTGAATTCTTTGATAAGCATACATACTTTTGTTATCCATAAATATATCAATAATTGTTAAAATATAATTATAATTATTTTGAACACTTTTTAAATTGTTATTTAAATTAAAATCTTTTTTATTATTTAAATAATTATAAATACAAATTTCTTTAATGCTATGATTAGTATTTACTATAATCCCGCTGCTATCCAAAAAGCATAAAACTGAGCAATCACTTAAAATATTCAAATGTCGTTTATCTACTTTTATTCCCTTTAAAAATATATATATATATATATATATATACAATTGAAGAAAAAAAAAGTATATTTTATATATATTATACCTTAATGATTAACAAAAGATTGTTTTTTAAATTGTAAAATAAACCAATTTTTTTCTTATTAACATAAGAACTATCATCAGTTGTTGATGAAAAATCATAGGATGAAGAAAAGGTTTTCTTTTCATAACTTTTATCTTTAAAATAATTTGCATACACCATGTTTAAGGAAGAACAATAACCATAAATTAATTCCGAAAATATCCTATAAAAACATTAATTACATAATGAATATTTTCACGTATTTTATTTGATTTATTTTAGTTTGTAAACCTATGAAAAAAAGGTAATAAGGTAATAGACATTAATATGTTATAAATTAAAAAATAAATAATAACAAAATGAGGTATGTCTATACTCTTCTTAATGTCTAAAAAGCTTTATTTCATAAAATAAAAAAAAAAATAAAATAAAATAAAATAAAATATTATTTCATATTTTTTATACAATTATGAATATTTAAAAAATTAAAAAAGAAGAATATAATCATAATCATAATAATATTTATAATTAAAAATATCTTCCTAGAAGATTATTTGGTAATATTTTATATTTTAATATATTACTATATTATTGATAAGACACTAGAAATTGAAAAAAGAATTATCCACATATAAATATATAATATATGTATTTTTTCGGTTAGAATAATGTTCCTTAAATTTTTTTTATTTTTTAAACTTTTACTATATACTACATTATCCTCAATATATTTTTTAATAATAGATATAGATACATTATCATAAGATACAAACGAATATAGATGAAAAGATGGTAGATACTCTCTTTTCTCATCTTTTGGATATTTAGTTAATAAGTTGAAACTAATTTTATTTTTGTTTATTGGCATAAATATTTCATTCTTTTCATATTTTTTACCATATACTATAATAAAAAAAAAAAAAAAAATAAATGATATATTTAACAAAAAATATATAAAAAGAAAGCGAAATATTTTTATACTTATACCGTTTTCATTAATATTATATTCTGCACAATGGCAAGGAATTAAATCTCCGGCTCGTAATAAAAATATATCCTCTTTTATAAGCTATTATTATTCAATTAAAAAAGACATATATATATATATATATATGAAATATTATAATTAAAATAGAATATGTAATTAAATAAATTATCAAAATTAAAATTTAAAACTATAAAGAAAAAAAAAAAAGAAATAACTATCTAAATAAATAAATAACTACATAGTTATTTTTAATTTAAACAAAAATTATAATTTTTTTATATTAAAAAGAATATTTATCTATACTGTTTCTTCAGTTCTTACTAGATTTGTTGGTAACAATTCCCATTTCTTGTTTCTTAAAATAAAAATAAAATTAGAATTAGGAAAATAGTTAAAGGGAAAATCTCCCTTTTTATTTTTAGTGAAGTTATTAGATGATAAAAATTTTATTCCTTCATTTATTTTGTTTATATACTGATTATTCTGTAAATATATAAATTTAAAAAAAATTAAAAATATTGTAAATAGAAAATACGAATCATAAATAAAAATATAGTTATATATGTAATAAGATAATGTATGTCTTATAAGATCCATTATATAAAAAGTTTAAAAGGAAAATTTTATATCAAGATGAAAAAAAAAAAAAAAAAGTTATTATATTTATAATAATTCAAATATATAAAAAAGATAAATAAACAAACTTAGATTAAAAATGAAAAATGCAATAAAGATAAGTTTTGTTACTTGGGCTTTTTCTGTTTCGTAGTATATTATAGTAAATAACAACAATAACAACAATATTAATACAAATAAAAAAATTAAATAATTTGTACTAATAATATCATTCTCTATTAATAAAGTAAGGTTAAAAAAAAAAAAAAAAAAAAAGATTAAAAAAAAGCTATATTTACTTAAATTCAATTAGCTTTTTTTTTTTATTACCTTTTAATAATAGTTTTCCTATAAATAAAGGAATAAGAAAAATGGATATTATAAACCCTTCTGTTTTATATAAGTATTCAAACCAAAAAACTTTTTTAATTTTCTTCTTATAATTTTCTGTTAAATTCTTTTTGAAAGTATGCAAAAATTTAATATATAAAAATACATATATATGTACATTTAAGTATAATCAAAATTTTATTAATTTAATATTAATGTAACAGAATAGTACATATAGAACAAAATATAAAAAATATCTTCGTATGCTTCAAATATATTTTATTAAAAATTTAAAACATAAAAGAATTATTATTTGTAAAGAGAATATATACAAGACATTATTAATAAAGTTATTATCAATCTAACTGTATTTAAAAGAAAATGGAAGTATTTTTATTAATCACTTTAAATGTTTTATGATTTATAAAAATTATAAACTAAATATGAACAAATATATATATTTTAAAAAAAAAAAATTTTAAGTTAAACATATAATTCAAAAAGCAACTTCTAATAGGACCATAAATAAATTAAAACATAAGAATATTATTATATCTTGCACACATTTACATATATATATATATATATGTATGTATATTTTATACTTTAAATACCTGTAATTCTGTTTTAATAAGTTTACAAAAAAATTCATCATTTATTACGTTTTTCTTGTTCTCAGAATATGCCATTTTAGATAAATTATTAAAAAAAAAACATAAACAAAAAAAGAATGAAAAAACTTTCTTTTATTGTACTGTTTTATATGCACATCTTTTTATTTTTTCCTAATTTTGTTAGATAAAAATTTTTTTTTTCTTGAATGTGTGCATAGGAAAAACTTAAAAGTATTTTTTTTACTTTTATGAATGAAATCATTTAACCGTTAAATATATATATATATGTGTATATTATATAATATATATATGTGTTTTACTATTATTTCTTTATTTTATTTTTTTTTTTAAATTATATTTTTTTTATCCTATTCTATTTTATGATATTTTTTTTTTTTTTTTTTTTGTTTTTTTCTTTATTTTTTTGTTTAAATATATTCAAAAAATTTTTATTATGAATTTATTAAAAATGTTTTAATTACAATTGTGATTGATTGTGTGTTATTTTTTTAAATTCTAATTTTTATAAACCCCATGAATAAATTAATGATTTACAAATTTTTGTTCAATAAACCTATAAGGATTTTTCTTCAATATTTTTATTCATATACTATATTTATCTAACCGTTGTCTTTATTTTTCCTTTTTTTTTTTTTCTTTTTTTTTTTTTTTGTAAGATAAAATATTAAAATTAATTATTTTTTTTTAATTATGTTTGATTTATTTTTCTTTATTCATTAAATATAAATTTTTTTTATTTGTTTTTTAGTTATTTTACATTATGGCTTTTCATTCTTGTCTTATAAGAATAAATATTTTCATATATATATATATATATTTTTAAAAGAATTTGAATGCTATATCTTAAAATATTAATATTTAGTTTTATATTTAACACTAATATTATTTATTATTATTAATATATATATATATATATATTTTAATTGTTATCAAAAATTAGTTTGTACAATTAAGTTTATTCATAAACTATTCTTGTGAATTATTGATTTTTCATTATATATTACTAATTTTTATATATTTTTATATATTTTTATATAATATTTTATTTGTTTATCTTTTTTTAAAATATGGATGGAGATAAATTAATCCATTATAAGGAATGCTTTGTAAAGGATATAAAGAAGAAAGAATTTTATGATACTAAAATTGATAGTGAAGATAAGGAAATTTCAAGTTTTTCATCAATGAAATTTTCTAATTTAGAAAAGGAATTTCAAACACTTCATGAATCCCCAATAAAAGAAAAAATGATAGATAAAGGAAACTTCACAAAAACTCAAGATTTGTCGGAATTAAAAAATGATAAAAAAAAACAATTAGAAAAATATAACACGGATAGTTTTTGTGAAATGGAAAATAAAAGTTTTGTTGAATATGAAGATGAATATAATTTATCTGGAGTGAATTTTATTGATAAAATTTTAAAAAATATTCAAAATGATAACATTTTAAAAAGTAACGGAGAAACATTTTCTAATCATATAAAATTGTATGAAAATTGTGATTTAAAACCTAATAATGTTAAAGATATGTGTAATAATGACATGAAAAATACTTTATATATATGGAATGATAACAAGAAATTATCTTATAGTTGGTATTCTTTTATGAAAAAGGAAGATATAAAAAAGTCAATATGTAATTTTTGTATGAATATTATAAATGATGAATTTTATCTAATACGCCTGGAAAAATTAAAAGATGAAAATTTATGTAAAGAAGATTATCGGAATATTGAAAAATTTTGTTTAAATGAAAACGAAATTATGTATTATAAAATATGTGAATCATATAATATTGAAGATCTTGGAAACATAAAAAATAATGAAGAATATTTAATTAAAAAAAAAAATATAAATAATGAAAAATTAGAAGATTCTCTAAATTTTCCTGAAGTGTTAATGGCAATAGAATATGCAAAAGAAGGATCTAACTTATTAAAACATACAGTTTTTAATATCCCACATCTACGTTTTTTTTTTTTAAGTAAAAATTTAAAATATATAAAATGGTTTTCATCAAGAAAATCAGATGAAGAATCTAAAATTTATTTTAGAAATATAAATAGTTTAGAAATCAACAATATAGGTGATAAACTATTTGAAAATTATAAAATTGATTTACTAAAAAAGCTTTCCTTCTGTATTACTTACAATAATGAAAAAAAAAAAATAATTTTAACCTGCAAGAATCTTCAAGAATTTAATTATTGGGTTACTGCTGTTAGAGCTCTTATGTTTCATTTTAGAAAAATGAAAGTTACCAAATTCATTTTGTTATCTCATTTAAATGAATTTTACTATGTTGATAAAAATAAAAAATATTCTGAAACATCATTAAAGCAAACAGATCAAGTTAATTTATTTTGTGAGTTGAAAAGCATAGATGAAAAAGAGAATGAAAAAATGAAAGAATTAGAGTCATTAAAAAATTTTAACCTTTATGATTTAATAAGTTTTCCAGATTATAATATATATCAAATAAAAACCAAATTTTATTTATTAAAGGAAAAGTTATATAAATATAGAATTTTAATTGAACAGGAGATAGATGATTTCCATACAAACGAAAATATTAAAGATTTATGCAAAACTAAAAATAATCCAGATAGCAAAAGCACTTCAATTAAACCATTAAATAATGATATGATACAATGTAGTAACTATGAAATCAATGATAAAAAAAAAAACATAACGAGTATTTATGATTTGCATCAAGAAAATTCTTACCAGTTTAGAAGTAGTAGTGATAATAATAGCGAAATTCATAATTTATATAAAAATTATAGTAATGATGATTATAATAATTTTTCAGATGTTAATGATTTAAATGAAGATAAGAAAAATATAAAACAAAGTATGAACACTAAATTAAAAACAAATTTTTTACCATATATAAATGACAATTCAAATAGCAAAAATGCAAATGAACAAAAGGAAATAGAAACCTCGTTTAAAATAAACAACATTGATAATACTACTAAAATAAAAGAAATATATTCTTTAAATAATAGATTTAATTTAAATATTAATAAAATAAACATACTTGAACAATTAGAAGAAAATAATATAGAAGAAGATTCCAATGAGTTTAAACTTTTCTTAATTATTAAAATATTTAACAAAATTGATAAAAAACTTAGAAATGTACAAAAAAATATTTTAGAAATTGTTAAAATACTAAAGGTAGAAGAGTCGAAACAAAAAAGAAATGAGATAAAATTTTTTTCAGTAGATAATATTTTGAAATATACTACTATTATCTATAAAACCATAGAAAATAAAATTGTAAATAATGAAAGTAATGTAAATAATGAAAATAATATAAATGTTGAAAGTATGAAATTTTTGAATTCTCAGAAAAATAATAATGAAATAGATAAAAAAAATTTTAATAACTCATTTAATAACATTGATAATATTAGTAATCCTAGTATTGAAAATTTAATTAACATGAATAACAATGAAAAACATTTATCTTTGCAAAAACAAACATTTCCTGAAAAAAAAACATTAGATTCAAATAAATTAATTCATAATATTTTATTTAATATGTGGTTATGCGAAATTGAATTAGGAAATGTTGAAGACATTTTTACTTCTTACACTTATTCTAAAAAGAAAAATTTCCTAATAGGTTTTGATGGTTCAAAAATTCTTAAAACCATATCACAACGTATATCAACAACATTTATGAAATATATAAATTTTTAAATTATTTTTTACCCTTTTTTTTTTTTTTTTTTCGTAAAGTTTAATATTTTTTATTCAACTACAATTTTATATTTAAAAAGAAAAGAAATTAACAAGTTAATACAAAAATAATATAAAATTCAAAATATAAATTAAAAAGAAAAAAATCATAATTAAACAGAACAAAAAAATACTATAATAATATTAATTTTTTAAAAAATTTTTATATATTATAAAAAAAAAAAAAAAAAAAAAAAAAAAAAAACTACATAATTTTTGTAAATAGAAATTTGATAACTTAAAAAATAAAAAAAAAAATTATTTTATTAGCGGACAAAATATATAAAAATAATCAATTTAATAATTTCCGTGAACTCTAAAATCAAAAAATTAAAACAAAATTTTATCTAAAAATCATCTATAATAAACATATTAATCAATATATATATATACATTTGGGATTTATAAATATATTAATATATATTCTTATTAAACTATTTATAGTATCATTATTTTATTTTTTGTATATTCTTATTTAAACCTATATACATTTATTATTTAATGAGTAACATTATTTTTCATCCTAACAAAAATAAAAAAAAAAAAATATTCAATTGAAAATCATTTAGAATTCTAATTAATTCGATATATATAATTGGTAAGTTTTATCAAAATCTAAAAGACATTCATTTATTTCTTTAAGTAAATAATTTATAATAACCCCTTTATGACTAAAAATAAAAAAAAAACGAGAGTTTAATTTTTCCAATTCTTTTAGGATTTTTTTCTTTTTTTTTCTAATTATAATTTTTTCATTTTTATTTTTAATTTCAAGTGAGTTCTCTTCTTGATTAGATAAAGCTGTAGATTTTGAATCAATACTTGCAAAATTTTTAAAACCATTATTATTATTTATATAATTTTCTTTTAAATAATTTTCTAATTTTTCATTTTTTTCACTTAAATTATTGGAAAACTTCTCAGAGGTATTTATTATATTAATGTCATTCCTGTTAGAATTTAAAGTATGACAAATTTGTGTCGTATTTTCATTATTATTATTTTGTTCATCTAACGTAATATGTACATTTTTATTATCATCATTTAACATATTCATTAAAGAATCTTTATTATCTATAATGTTGTTTATATTTTTTTCTGGAATCGTATTATCAGTTATATTTAAATTTTTATTTTCTAATGATTCTTCTTTCCTTATTTCAGTATGATGAATTTCCTTTTTTTCTTCTTCTGTATTATTGTTATTATTACTTACAATATTTTCATATACATTTATATTATTTTCATTAACATTTATATTACTATTCAAAACATTCTCCTTTTGCATAATATTATCATAATTGTAATTTATAAATAATTTTCCTTCTGTAGAATTTTTGGTTTCCAACAGTGATGAACAATTTTCCAATGATTTTTTTTTATCTTGTATTTCTTCATATTTTTCACAAGGAATTGTATTATTCTTGATATTTTTTAAAAATAAATCCATCTCTTTATAAGATTTATATAAATTTCTTATTTTTTTTATAGTAAAAGATAAATTCATATCGCATTTAACAATTATATTATAATATGATTGCATTAAAAGATTTACGTTTTCTACTATTTCTATTAATTTCAATTTATTTTTATTATTGCTTTTGTCTACATCTACTATGTTTCTAATAGTTTCTGAAATGCCATTAATAATAAATAAAAGTGATGAATTCTTATTACCATTTAAATTGTATAAATCATCGTAATTCATTACAAAATCATTTTCATTAAAGTTATGTTGTAACATCTTTTCTCTTCGAAGATGTTTTCCTTTATTTGCACCATTTTCATATTTTAAAAAAAAATAATTATCATTAATATTTAAATTTTCAAAATAATTACTCTTTCTATCTTTTTTAGAATTCGAATTACTCAGAATATATTTGCTATTATGCATTAAAATTGATTTAGTATTATTAAGTGTCTTTATTATACTATAATTATTTCTTTTAGTCTTTTTTAAAACTTTGTTATCTTCTAATTCCATTAAATTTTTTGTTTGTTTTTGTCCTAACATATTTTCATTTTTATCATTGCATATATTATTTGTTTTAGTTTGTCTATCTAAGTCTTCACTTTTCAATTTTTGTATATTATATATATTATCTCTGTTTGTTTCATTATGTTCTATTAACATTTTTTCATTTGGATATCCTATTTCATTTTCTACTTTTTCGTCTTTCTTTAATTTTAATGTTTTTTTTTTTTCAATTTCTACATTATCATTTGTATTTAAAATTTTATCTTTCATGTATGTTAATATATTTTCATTATTAGGTTTTATATCGTGATTTATTCTCATTTCGTCACTTTTATTTTCATTCATATTGTATGATTCGTCATTTTTATTATTAACAAAAAATTTTTTATCAATGCAAATGATTTTATTTTCTTCTTCATAAGAATTTTTTCTATTATTTTCCATATTTATGTTTAGATTATCATATTCATTTATGAAAAATGACTTTGATTCATAAACATTTTTGATGTATGGAATTTTTTCATATAGATGTAAATTTTTATTTTCATTTTGATTTATTACACTATTATCATATTTTTCATTATTATTATTTAATTCGTTTAAATTTTCATTATTTCTTTCAAATTCACTAATATTCATTTTTCCTAATATTGTTTTTAATATTTATAACTATTGTGATAAATATATATATATATATGTAAATAAATTTTTTTTTTATATTTCTAAAAAAAATTCTTTTTATTTAAAATGTTTTAACAAAAATAATCAGAACAATATATTTTTTATTATTAAAGTTACTACTATATATGTAACTAAAATATTCTCTTTTTAATCACAATATTTTTTTTCTTTAAAATATCTTTATCTTTATTTTATCTAATTAAAATTCTAATGAAAAAATGAAAAAAAAAAAAAAAAAAAAAAAAATTAAAAAATCAACTAAAAATGAA